AATTATAATACCAGGGCCCCCACAAGGAGGGGGATGGCAGAAGGACCCATGTTACTAGGGCCCAGACTTTCAAGGGGCCGGCGTTCATGCAAATAATCATTTCAAAACTACATCAATATATATTAGAAAAATATTCTAGGCCCAAATTTAGTTCTGCACCAGGACCAAAAATATGATAATCTAATAACTCTATACCTATACAATAACAGATAAACGGTTTTATTTTAAATAAATATCTAAAACGAAATGCATAAATACTCCTATGAATTATGATTTACTTACACGAGATTAGTTTCTGTAATCGGGTTTCAACTTTGTATCACTTTGTCTAACGCCACGTTTTAAAATTGTTTGACAGGCGATGGTGAGAATGGACCGACACATTCCGTACGAAAAACGAATGGCCCGAGTCGAAGATGTCATACAAGAGGTAAGTTTCAATAATGTTTAATGTTTATATAATATATAATATGTATACAATTCACCTATACATAAAACAATTTTATTTTTTATTTTTTCCCTATTCAGTTGTCGTTAAGTAAATGTCAAAACACTATCATTGGTGTGGCTGGCAGAATAAAAGGTTTATCCGGTGGTGAGATGAAACGTTTGTCGTTTGCTTCCGAGGTAAGCCAATAATAATTATAACTATTAAAATATAACGAAGATCAACTTATTTTTTCAAATTTATTTGAGTACAATATCTAAATTATATTGTTATTATTATTATAATTATTATTWTTTTTACTTCATCTGTAAATATAATACGATTATGGCATGCTGAATTTATAAATAATAAATGTATTGCCATTATAATCTCGTTATTAATATATATTTTTTCACATAATATATACCGTTTGTTTTTCGACTGCGTCCCTCATCAGGTGTTGACAGACCCTCCATTGATGTTTTGCGACGAACCGACTTCGGGACTGGACTCGTACATGGCGCAAAACGTGATAAGTGTGCTAAAGTCGATGGCGTCTAAAGGCAAGACAATCATTTGCACAATTCACCAGCCGTCATCYGAAGTTTACTCCATGTTCGACAAGATACTATTGCTGGCCAGCGGCCGAACGGCTTTCCTGGGCACTCCCAACGATGCCATCGAGTTTTTCAAAACGTAATAACCACTTCTCTAGTAATGTTTAACACGCGGGTCTATATGTCTAGAACACAGTTACAGATAACTGTGATCCAAAATAATCATTAAAAAAATATTCACTTGTACTAAATGCTTAGCCACCTCTCACTAACACGAAATGTTGAACCTTATCAAAAGGAAGACTGATCCTGCAGGAATTCAGGATAATATACTAAACAATAGACAGATTTTTAAGTACAAATATCTTCTCCCATACTGGGGGCGTGTATCGTTTCCGCCAAAATATTGAATTTTTGTTTCTACTAAAATGTAAAAAGGTTTGACCTTCGTTTTCGTTAAATAATTTTTCGTCCAAAATCATCATTATAAAACTACTAATATCTTAATTCTGTTTCTACGTTGTTATTATTTTATAGYATTCTGAAAATAATATCTCATAAAATAGTACTTACGTTTATTCTGCCCACAATGTGGTTAAAGTTCAGTGATAGTTTATGCAGAATCGCAAATAGTTATAATTTGATAATCATTCCATGCTCATTCCAAATCTAAAAAATCACATCCTGATATTAATATATTTTTGAATATTTTAATCTCAAGTGTTCAAACTAATGAAGGTACCTATTTTATATACAGATTAAACATTTCTAAATTAAATATCTAAATGCCAAAAACATAAATTACCTATTCAAAACAAAATAATTAACACATCAATTGCAATAAAAAAAGTAGATAAAATAGATATTATCTATTATATTTAATTTCTGACGAAGTAAATAGRTATCAACTATATTGATTATAATATGTTTAATGATAGGATTCACTATCGCTGTTTCGGACTCGGTGATTTCGATATAAATATATTGGTCTGTATATTATATTTTAATACAAGCGATAAGCTTACATGCAACTATGCAAGAATTTATAAGTACTCGGTGTATTGAGAAATATTGTTTCCGACTCTCCGTCATTTCAACTGAACACCAAAATTTAAAAAAAAAAAATCCAAGATTAAATTATCAACCTACTAAACTAGATAATTAAAAGAATAACTTGTTTAAACTTTTATACTTGACTAATTTTCTAATTAAATTAATGCATTATGATACACACAAATGATACATGTACATATGATACACATACAAATTTAATTAATATATTTTGTACCTATAATAAATAATAATATTGTTTTTTTCCATTTAATGTGAAAATGTATTTTATACTTTTTGATCACTCTACCTATAACATTACCTGTATATGATCTGGTTTTAAATTAAATTAAGCCAAACAATTATTCATTAGAATTTCTTGATAAAACAATRATGGTAGTTACATAATAAGTCAAAAATGAAATTATGTATAGATCAGTCGTTGTCAAATTAATTTTCTCGTTATACATGATTATTCCTACTGAAAGTTACGGCATACCTCCAAGTTTCAATACACATTTCATATATCTCATTCACAAGTTCTTTAAGATCCAGAAAAAACCACCATAGACCAAACTAACATTCGAATATTTACAATAAAATACTAAATTACCAACCTATTTGTATTTGTATTTATAGTTATTTTATAAAAAAAGTTTCATACCGAGTATTAATTTTTATATTTGTAGAGAAAATATTTTTTCAATAATTAATTTTATGGGTCCAAATAAAATGTTTAAATTTTCACGGGACAGCCTTTGGGAAACTCGGATGTATACATATACCACCCAGAGTGGCACCGTACTATTTACAGCCAGTTCAATTTGAGTGGGTAGGCAGGGACTGGGTGAGTAAATATAAGAATAATGTATTAACCAAGTTCATTGCACCTACCTATTATACCTGTTGGTTTGATATACCGTTAAAGTAAGCCCAGCCCCGAGTAAGGTTTAGCASAGCCAGATGGATGTATATACATTGTGTGTAAATCGAATCATAAATTTAAATATAATTATACCACCATTGYATACTTACTAACCACTATATCGATAACAAAATACAACCGTCAACCGGAGTCCGGTGATTGGGGAAAAAAAAAGATTTAAATAACTCTAAATTATTAACTTTAATAAGTTTAGTTAACACTACATAATATTATTCCCCCATCCCCCGTGTTAACTCTGTGTAATTATTGGAAGTATTGCTTATTAACGATTAACTTACAACGTTATTACTTACGTTATAATGTCGACTTGACTATTTATATCAACTCAAGTTTTGATTATTTTAATATTATTGTCATTAGTCGTTAGTTTGCCCACCTTTTTAGGTACAYACCTAATATAGTACCTAATATTATATCCGGTCCATAATTTCGTATAGGCTCGGCGTCAGCTGCCCGAAAAACCACAACCCGGCGGACTTTTTCATTCAACTGTTGGCCATCGTCCCGTCYCAAGAGGTGTGCTCATACGAAACTATTGAYACAGTTTGCGAGGCTTAYGAGAGCTCAAGCTACAAGAGCGACATGATGGAACACCAAAAACAGTTGTCTATYGCCAGCAAAGTAAGTGTGTGTACAATGTACATATTGTATATTGGATAAAACTCGACTGAATAAACACCTATATACAGTATATAATTCATGGCCGTCCCCAGGGGGGGGGCAAGACGGGGCACTTGCCCCCCCCCCTGGAATAATGTTATTTCTACAGCAATTGGTAAAATGCTGGTATAATAATGTTTTTAATGTTTTAATTGTAATAATAATACCTTTCTAATTGTAATGTTTTAATTCATAATTGTAATAGGTAATGACAAAACATAATAATTTACTATAAATAAAATGTATAAAAACATTTTCATTTATTTTTAAAATTAATAAATCTAATTTACGCTGCCCTATGCAATAGTTAATTTTTTGTAGAGGAGGGGGTTGAATAAAATAAGGACATTAATTTTTATCTATGAACCATTGTTTGGTATATTTTGAACAATGAACATACAATTCAGCACACTATATTATATTTTATATATTATAATAATTAAATCACTTTGGTTCATTTGAAATTTGCCGCCCCCGCACTAGTGCCGCCCTAGGCGGCTACCTATTTTGCTACCACATTTAGCCRGCCCTGTACCTAACTAATATAGTAGGTATATGCAAGAGTCAAACTAATAAATTTATCAATGACTTGTTAGTTGTTAWACGCAAGGGATTTYCATTTACAATTTGGGTTTCCGAAAGTTCTGAACTGAATGATTAACCAATCATGCTCACCCACATTTTTTTCCTTTAAAAATGAATTTATTCAAATTCTAATTTTTAGAATTTTCAAATATACTTAAGAAGGCCATACTTTCAAATTCTTGAGATTTTTGTACCACTTAAGGTGTGTCCTGTGGCGATACAAACTTTTGTTTTTTAAATAAAAACCCCTCAATTTGTATTGTAAATTATTTAGTGGATATTTTTTTAAGAATTTTGATGTATTGAAATCAAATTTATAATGAGTAGTTTTTGAGTTATGTAACTTTGTGTTCTAAGGATAAAAGGTCCATTGTTTAGGTTTATAAGAATATGTGGCTTATGGTRGATTTGAAATAATATTCATTAATATTAATCTATCAACATAAATAATTTTTTTAAACGACCTATGTATCATAAATACTAGTTCCAATAGTAGGTGTATTTTTACTTTCGTAAAATGATTTTTAAGGACTATTATCCTTAATACAGACATTTTAATTACTAAGAATCTACTCATTCGAATTTTTAAT